TTTGTAGAAAGGGCCAGGGAAATAGCTCAGCAGACTAAGCACCTACTTAGGCAAATGCAGGACCTGGGGTTTGATCCCTGCCACCGTATGCAGAGCCAGCCTGGCCCCAACGTGCACTGAGGAAGCCACTCAGACCGGGCATGGAGGCTCACATCTATAATCCCAGTGCTGGGGAGGCGGAAAACAATAGGATCATTATGAGTCTGAGCTGTACAGTGAGACCCTATATTGTAGGGAGCTGCATATAACCGCGCCCTAAGATGGCGCCGGTTTCCGCCTTCCACCCCCTCAGGGGGTGAGCGCTCCTAGTAATAAATAACTCCATATAAGGCCAAGGCTTGGGCTAATGCATTGCTTCCACATACCTGGACCAATGGACAGTACATACGTGGCACCCCATGATTGGAAGCCCTGAGACTTATAAGGTAAGAGCAGGGGACTCGGGAGGAAGAAGACAGATGTAAGAGGGCAATAAAGAGCTGCGCAGAAACAACCAGTGGTCGCGTCTTCCTTGCTGGCAAGGCTGTGCGCGACACTATATTATGTACCAAATGCATAAAATATGTATACACATACATACATACATATATACATAATTTGTAAAGACATTAAAATATAAACTATAACAATAATAGATTAATGATGACTTGTGTTCCACTGATAAAAAGGATCAATTTTGCTTTATTCATGTACTTATCACATATTTATCTTGTTGGTTAACCAAAGGAGAAAATAGAACTCCAAAAAACTCCTCATCAGAGAAGATTAGAGCGTTTAGCAAGGAAGCTTTGGGAGGCCTGAGCCCAGGAGAAGGTGAAACTCTCCACTGTGTTCTGAGTCCTGCACTGATGGAAGCTGCTCTCAGCTGATTGTCCTGCTGCATGAAGAGTTGATCTGCCCCAAGCTGATAACGAGGGCCAAGCACCACAGGCTTCCAAACCACCCCACCCAGGCAGGACCGTTGAAAAGACTTGGCTTTTAGAAAGGAGCTCTCAGAAAAAGTTCTTATTTAAAAATCCCTCTACTTGTTTTAAATTCCAAAATGAATCAGGGTAGTATTACATAACATTTAAAAAGAAAAAGAAAAAAGAAGTCTTTTTGCAGTTAACTGTATCTAGTTCAACTTTCACCTCTTGACATTCTCTATGGTTGTTTGAGATCTAACTTTATTTGAAAATTTATACACTATTCAAACTTATGATTCTTTAATCAAAAAGTAAAAACTCTATTTGCATACTTTCTTTTTAACATTAATCTGCCTGTAATTAACACTAGTACTTCCTGTAAACCACCACCACTCACTTAGGTACTGCATTGCCCATGAGTTTTATGGATTGTGCACATTTGATTCCTTCATGATGTCCATTGTGCATTTTTTATGTGAGTCTTTCCTAGTGAGGATCTTCATATGGCCAGAGTCAGTGCGGAATTATGGGCAAGCATTGAAAACCAGAAAGTATTAATAGTCTAGGGAATAAAGTTTTGTTATTATGTTCCTCAAACTATCCTAAAGAAGGGCCTTGATCCTTGTACTAAGAGTGGTACACAATGTTTAGACACTGAAGACTTCCAGTTTCAAGAGAGTGGGAATTCAGGGGAAGACTGATTTTAAGTCAGCAGCTATCAGAATAATAGCCAGAGTGCTGTTAGAGCAACTCCTACTGAGACTCACTCCTGGCTGCAGTCACTGAAACCTTAAAGAACTCATCTTTTTCCATGTATCAAACATCTTCCCTGAATGTCTTCTGTGGACTTCAACATTGTTTTTTTTTCTCTAAAACTGTGATTCTCCTCCTGATTTCTACCTCCCCAGTGCTGGGATTACAGGCATGTGTCACCATGCTGGACGCCATCACTGGCTCAGCATACCCTGGGGCAGGGCCAGAGCAGCATGAAGTACCAGGGATCTAACCCCAGCCTCTGTGCTTACCTAAGTAAGCACTTAGTCCGGTGAGCTATACCACTGGCCCTACCTACTTAATAAGGTTTAAGACTATAGTACTGTATTACTATAATTAACAGTGTTGCATAAAGTTTCATGGTTGCATACCAAATCTGCAGAACTTAATCAGTTTTTATAACTCACTGTTTGAATGCATTAAAACAACTCCTCATTTTTCTCTGTATCAATCCATTACAATCATCATTTTACTCTCTTTTCATGAGTTTGACTTTTTAAATTTACTTCATGAGTATTATAATTTATCCTTCATGTCTGGCTTATTTCACTTGGGATAACTTTCTAAATGTTCATCTATGACACCCTAAATGACAGGTTTCCTTTCTTTTCAAAGATTGTGTAATATCAATTTTATTTATATATCACCTTTTCTTATCTATTCATTTATAACATGTTTTAGTTGTTTCCACATTTTTGTTTATCTATTCATTTATAACATATGTTTTAGTTGTTTCTGCAATTAACTGTTTCTGTGAGTCATGCTATAATAAGCATTGGCTTACCTACAATCTCTCTTTTTTTTCTTTTATTTTAAAGACAGGGTTTCATTATGTAGTTTAGGATAGCCTTGAACTCCCTAGGTAGCCCCAGCTAGACTCTGACACACAACAAATCTCCTAGCCCAGCTTCCCAATGCTGAGGTTATAAGAATGTACCATCACGTCTAACTCTTAGAATGTAACTCTTTGAGATCCTTTGAGATTTTCAATTCTTTACAGTATACACCTATAATTGATATTGCTTGGATAATCTAGAAATTTTATTTAACCTTCAGAAACCTCATACTGATTTCTCTGATGGCTGTACAATTTAACATTCCCACCAACAACGTACAAGGGTTCCAATTTGTCCACATTCTTGGCAATACCATCTCCTTTGTTTCTTCTATAGTAGCCATTCTAAGAGAGGTGACATGTTTCATTGTAGTTTTTTTAATCATCTTACCCTCATAGTGATTTGAGCATCTTTTTGTATATCTGTTGCTGATATGTATGTCTTCTTTTTAGAAGAAATATCTTTTTAGAAGAAATAGTTTTAAAGAAATATCTATTTAAATCTTTTGTTCATTTTAATTTTTGTAGTTCTTATCTCTATTGATTTGGAGCAATTCTTTGCACATTTTGCATTAAGATATCATTAGCCCTATGTTTTTTTTTGAAAAGAAAGTCTATAAACACCAAAACATCATCTTATTGTTATTTGTAAGTATTCATATAAAGAATAAAATCCAATGCCAACATGTCATCATAATATTTATTTATTTATTTATTTATTTATTTATTTATTTGGTACAGGGTCTCACTACATACCTTGGACTCATAGGGATCCTCCTGTGTCAGTCTATAATCCCACTGTGGGATTATACGTGTGCACCACCATGCCTGGTTTTGATGGCTAGCGTGGCAGGACCTGCCTGGTATGTGGGATCAGGGATTAAGGCAATGTTCTTGTGCTTCTCAGGCAGACACTTAGACTGCCAAGCTATCTCCCCAGCCTGCCATTGTACCATTTTGCAATTCATTCATCAACATTTCAGGTTCTTTTCTTTTATTCCAGGATCACTACACCAAGACTATTAAACGGTTAGTTAATCTTGTAACCAAAGTTGTAGTGTAGCTTTATTAGTAGCCATGTTCCTCATGGAAAAAATATCTTTTCAGTATATGATGTTGGGAAAGCTGAATGTCACCAAGGAAAAAATTACACATTTATCTTACACCATCCCCAAAACAGAAGTCAAATTGTACTAAAAAGTTAAATGTAAGACATGAAACTATGAAAATGCTAGAAAGAATGACATTGGCCATGACAATAATTTCTGAACAAAAGCATAAACAATAAGAGCGAATGGAATGAAGTTTGGCATGGATAGAGTGCTCTGTAGGAAGGATTGAAATAATGATATTTTCTCCTTACTTGTTTGCTTCACTATAGTAAGTTTGATTAAAATTACTTTGCCTTTGAGAACAATTTCCGTCTCCACATTTTTCTCCACCAAAATAATTGTATATTAAAAACAAGTCCCATTTTCAAATGTTTTTTATATCATTAGCTTATCCAATGAGGTATCCTAATTTTTGTTTCATGAAATTAAATATAAACATAATTACATATTCAATTTTTGTTCTGTTTGAATGATGACATGTATAGCTAAATCATATTTTTAAAAAATCTGACCTATGAGTCCAGAAATATAATCTTTTCTTTGTTTTAAGAAAGATCCTATAGCAAATTCTGGGCTGCAGTTTGATCTTGATGAAATTGTTGAGCTTTGTTTCCTAGAAAAAGACCAGCATAAAAACCTGTGGGTAATCTGCATCCTTGCACTTCTGCACTGTGGAGTCAAGAAGATGAGCAACACATAGTTTTTCCCCATTAATGATGCTCAGACTTTATAGCATCTAAAGTCATACAAAACATAAGGGCCAGTCAAATTGCTCAGTGGATTAAAGCACCTGCAAGCAGGCTTAGGGCCTGAGGGTTTTATCCGCAGGCTTGCCATGGCAGCCCTGTCCCCAGGGCACTCTGAGAAGGCCATTGAGACTGGGTGTGGTGGTGTATGCCTGTAATCCCAGCTCTTGGGAGGCTGTAAACAGGCATGTCACCATGAGTTTGATCTAGTAGTCAGACTCTGAACACCCTGTAGACCCTTCCCTAAAATACACACACACACACACACACACACACACACACACACACACACACACAGAGATACAAAACAGAGTCTTAGCATAGCTGTTTGTCTTACATCTGCAACTAGTTTTTCTTCTTACTTTTTGGTCTGAAAACCTTACATTCATTTGGCTTTGGAAGTTCTCTTGAGCAAATGAGAATGACAGCAACGCCCCAAAGTGCTGAGTCATCTTGTATCTGTGAAAGTTAGCAGCTGTCCTCAGCTGAACATGGCCTGTGCAGATAAAGTTGATTGTCTATGGTTGGTGGGATGATTCTGAAACTTTTTTTTTTTTTTTGGTCTTTACCAAGTTCATGTTTCTGACAGTTCTTTTTTGAATTCAATTACAGAATTCTATGTGAATTCTCTCTCCAAATCTCTCTTAGTTATATTTCATCTTGGCAAGTGCTAGACTTTTAGAAAAAATAGAAGATCTACAAAGGAAACCGTGAGTACTAAATTCAATTATCTTTAGTGCAATTTGTTACTGATATCATTAGGCAGGTGAGAATTCTACCACTGGACCACCAATGCTGTCACTGATACTATTAGGAAAACTGTCTCATTTGAACTGCCTTTGCTATGTATAAAGTGTTACTTAAAATTGCTATTTGACATTTAAGAAGTAGAGCATAGTAATTCTCCTTTTCACCTTAAGTACTAACCTAAAACTTATGTCTATGTAGCTACCAAAACTTAGCAAAGACATGTTAGTTCACATGAAGAACAACTAGTAACTTGGAAAAAGAAATAAAAATGATAAAGATTTGACTCTCCATGCAATGATTTAATGTGAAAACCACATTAGTAAATGCTGCCCATGGAGAAACAAAAGAGGAAAAAAAAAGAGAGCAAAATGCAAACTCTGTAGTGAGACTTCAAGAGAAACTAAAACAGAGAAATGGCATTCAGATCCTCAGGACTGAAGTGGACCTTTGAAATTTTGCTCAGCACTATCACACACAGATTGGATTCCTCTAAAGAGGGGACTACTTTTTATTATTCCACTGTGTAAGGGTTTTAAAAAGACAATTACTTATATATTAATAATTTGAAACTTGCTAAATCAGCAGAAGACGTGCTAAATTTGCCTTTGTAATGTTTTAGATAAAGTAAATACAAAGAGTAAATAACATGCCAGGCCTATTTCTAAGCATAAAGTAAAAATTTTTTGAAATTTTTATATAATTTATTATATTACTTGCAAACCATGTTTAAGTGCTTGTTAAATTGAGTTCAGGATGATTAGCACTTCTCAAAGGCTTTTAACATTTGAAGGTCACAATATTACATTTCTTATTGATCCACCAGAAAATTTAAATTCCTAATTTGAACTTGCTCTATTAGGAGCCCAATAGTATTTTTTTTTCTGTAGAAGAATAAATGTTGCCACACATTGAGAAGTTGAAATGTTTCCCAAATGAGTAATAGTTGTTAGTTTAAGTAGTAGTTATATGATGCAATTTACAAAAATATATGTAGAGCTTCTACAAATAAACATTTAATTTCTTAAAGACATGTAAACCTTTATTTGCATACATAAATGCCTTGAGATATATGAGAAGTAGCAGTAGATAGAAGCTTTTTAATTTGATTTTTTAATAATCACATTTGATGCATAATATTTACACATATTAATGCGATGCAGTGTGATATTTCAAAGCACATAGAAACTTTTAAACTTGCAGATTATGGAGAGCAGTGGGCCAAAGGTTTTGGAGACAGCAGAAGAAATCCAGCAGAGGCGTCAGGAAGTGTTGGATCGGTACCACAGGTTCAAGGAACGGGTTGCTGAGCGGGGTCAGAAGCTTGACGAGTCCTATCGCTACCAAGTTTTCAGGCGAGATGTAGATGACCTGGAGAAGTGGATCCTGGAGAAGATCAAGATCACAGAGGACAAGAGCTATAGAGAAATCCCTATCATAGAGGTCAGTGTCAGACACTTCCCTAACCCTAAAACTCTGAGAAAGAAGTTTGCTTTTTATGTTAATGAGGGAAGATGGGTGAGAATAAAATCTCATTCTTCTTAGAAAAAGTAATCCTCAAACAAAACAAAATAAGTAAGTAGTGCAATGTGACTTCAAGATGGAAATAAGAGAAGATCTAAAGGTATATCTCCATATAAA